AAGAGTGTTCCATTAAACACTTGTTTGCCAAATACTGTATTCACTGGCATGTGGATGGTTACCTATTTCAGGAGTGGTCTTTAGGAAAGAAATGTTTAAAGAACACTGCAAGTCCAGAAAACACAGTGCTCACGTGGAATGATCACACCTGTTAATCATATGTCTAGGGATTGCCATTCACACAAAGTCCAGTATTAACGGTGCTGTCTAGGATTGTGCAGCGAGCAGCTTACACATGATAGTGCTAATATGAGATGTAATAGAGATGAACATGCCCTGCAATTACAGAGGAATGATCAACAGATTCATTCTGTGGGATCTGTGGGTATTTTGTAGAGGAAGTGACATTTGAGATGGATCTTAAAAAATGACTACGACATTAGTAATAATTTTGTTTTAGTGTATAATAAATATAATAGACTTGAAGAATGGTGTCTCCAGTAGCCAAAGTGAGGAAGAAAGGGAGAGATCAATAAAAGGAAATATTTTCTTAATCACTTGAAAAAAAATTCTGACTTTATTAATAAGTTTCTTAAATTACTGCAATTAATTAAAAAATATTGAGAGTTTTTTCTTGGGTTATAAAGATAAATAATGAAAATGTTCCTAGTGGATTTGTTAATTTTGTGTTAGATATGGATTTAATCTGATCTGTGTGAAAAAGATCTGAAAGTGAAAGAATCTTAATGTAACAGATTTGACACCAGAGAACTCCACGAAGGGCGGAAGTCCAAAAGAGGACCCTGACCCAGAGTTCCGGTGACCAGGTTCTTGTCTCATGCCAGAAGAAAAAATTCAAGGGCAAGACGAACAACATCAAACAGGAATGCACAAGGTTTATTAAAGTGAAAGAAAGTATGCACTTGAGAGAGAAGTGTGGGCAAACCCAGAGAGCGAGTCTCATGAGGATGTCTGGATTATGGGTTTTTGTTTTCCTTGCGAACTGGTCCCAGAGATGTAGTACTGATGTAGCCTTATTGTCTCCACCTAGTGGGCAGGGAGCTTGGTTTTTCACTTTTAATTATTTGGTGTTTCCAAAACTGTTATGATGTCAGGTGCATGATGGGAGCCATAGTATTTGCAGTGCATATAACGTTATAATGATACTATAATTAGCCAAAGGTCAGGTCTCAGCCAGAGATGGCATCTAAGCTGGAAAGCACTTGTTTTGCTTATCTCTTTTTGCCTGAGCTAAAATAAGGAGAGAGCTGAATGAATACCTGCAGGAGCTAACACAAGGAGAGGGCTTGAACAAAAGACAAGGAAAAGTCTAGTGCCTTATATTAGACAGGAGGGGAGGTCTCAAGGCTGTCTATCCTGCCTCTTGTTTTGGCTCATCTCTCCCTTCAGGAGCTAAAACAGGAAGAGGGCTGAACAAAAGATAAAGCAAGAATTCCACTGCCTTATCCTGGAGAGGAGGGGTTGTCTCTATTCTATCTATCTTGCCTCAGGTTCATTTATTAATATTCAGCAAAGACTATGTAAAGCATCTCATTGAAGGTAGCACAGAGTTATGGGGAGAAAGTGGCAAATATTTTCAAAATGTACCCTCTTTTCTTGTACTTTGTGTGGTCAGGTCAAGAGGTGAGTGATTACGAGTAGTCCAGTATGGATTTGAAACCCACAATCATTCAAGAAGCTTATTCCCTGAGACATATCTTAAAATAAGTTAGCTTATTTGCTTTCCATAAAATCTTTGTGAAGACCGTTACGATATGATTATTAATGTTAAGGCTTTGATCTCACTTAACTTTATACCTTTAAGAAGGTATTCATGTATTGAATATTTCATGTTTCTCTTCTTGCTCTCAAGAGAACATTTATGTGAAGAATAATTGTATATATATTTAATCATGTATGGATTGGAGGTTAAAGTTACCTCTTTGAGATTTAGCCAGCAAATGATGACATCAGAAAATATTGTTTTCTCCTGTGTGTATGAATGCTTCATCTGTGACTCAGTCTGTGGTTGTTTAATTCATTCAGAATTCATAATTTGTGCCCAAGCTTTCATTTCACATATCCCTTTGTTTATACTGTTGCTAGAACTTTGTGTAATGACCTTTCTAATTTTCATTCCTTTTATTTTGAGTTCTAACATGGTAGGTTATGTTACTGTGATCTTTTTAGAAATACTTTTGTAATTTTGATTAATTTGCTTATATATTTAAATGTGTTACTGAATGGAAATAAAACCTTGTTCTCTCACTGGAGAAGATGCTTAATGAATGGTGCTAGGGAGAACAATAGGGGCAAGTATATTACATATATTTTGTTTTAATTCATTCAAAAGCATGCATGCCTTTTTGGACATTTGTATTCCTATAAAGCTCTAGCATCCCTTTACTCTTCTTAATAATTATGTCCTAATAATCTTTTGATTATAAGAATATATTTTATGAGCAACACTATCGTGTAAGTAACAGAACTATCTGCATACAGATCTAAATATGCAGTATATATTTTGTGGTTAGTTATAGTGGTGTTTCTCTACTGCTCTCATGACATTGGCATATATAGAAAATGATATTTGTGTATGGAGTAATCAGAAAAAGCTTTAAGTCATTGAAAGCTGCAGTTGCCCCAGGCCTCTCCCAAAGACTCTGAGGGCCAGGAGTGTATCCATGTCTCAGCATAATTGTGACATCCGTGGTGTCTCCATACACTGGTTACAAAGCTCAGATTTATAGTACTTCTCTGATAAATATATTCTTAATATTTTTATTATTGCCGCAGTCACAGAGTATTGATGAGTTAAATAAAATTGTTATATTGAAATTGTTTTATAACTATATCCCCCTTCATTATAATAAAATAGTATTATAACAGCATAGGGCTACTGTGGTATATGATTTAATTAGGGTGGCAGACTGTTCTTCATGCAGGCAGGGCTAAGAAGAAAATGAAAAGTTAAATTGAAATGAAATCATTATTTAACCCCTAATAGATTTTAGAAAATCCATTAATAAGTTACATAGGGCATAGTCACCTACTCAGTTCCTCAGTTCTGAGTAAATACCGGTGTTGCCCATCTCATTTTCTCTCTCTATGTCTTTGAACCACTTTGTTCCCTCAGCCCCCCTTTTCTACTCTCATTAGCTCTCTGTTTACTTTCTAGGTCATTTCCTCAATTCTCTTTTTTCTAGTTTACTAAAACTCCCATTAGCTACTTCTTATCCCTTG